TTTAACATCTATATGCGACCACTTGCTCAGCTGGTTCGAGGTTTTGGGCTTGAGTGTTATCAGTACGCCGATAACACTGAGCTGGTGCTGAAGATGGAGGGCAGACCAGACTCTGTACCCAATTATTTTCATCAGTGCCTCTAGGCACTTACTGGATGGCTGCGTGCCAGCAGGTTGAGGGTGAATCCAGCAAAGACGGAGATCCTATGGCTGGGTCAACCGGGCAGTGGGGATATCCAGCTGCCTACCCTGGATGGCGAGGCGCTTTGCCCGTCATCATTGGTAAAGAGTCTGGGAGTCCTTTTGGACCCTCTGCTGACGATGGAGGCCCAGGTCTCCGCCGTTAGCAGAACCGCTTTTTTTCACCTGTGGCAGGCTAGACGGCTGGCCCCCTCCCTGTCCAGGGACGACCTAGCTACGGTAATCCAGGCTACGGTCATCTCAAGACTGGACTACTGTAACGCCCTCTACATTGGCCTTCCTCTGTCAGTGATTCGGAAGCTCAAGTTGGTACAAAATGCAGCTGCTCGGCTTCTTGCGGGAATTCCAATGAGATGCCACATAACACCAATCTTCTTACAGCTGCATTGGTTACCAATTGAGCACCGGATCACTTTCAAAGTGATGGTACTCACCTTTAAGGCCTTGCATGGTCTGGGGCCGATGTACCTGAGGGACCGCCTTACCCCCTACCAACCCCAGAGATCCCTCCGTTCTGAGGACCAAGATCTATTGGAAATTCCCAGTGTCAAGACCTTGCATCTAACAGCAACCAGACGCAGAGCCTTTACAGCAGTGGCACCATCACTCTGGAATACTCTGCCACCTGAAGTCCATGCCTTGCAGGACCTATCAGCTTTCCGCAGGGCATGTAAGACATACCTGTTTCGACAGGACTTTCATTTTTGATATTGCTGTTTTTAAATTATTTTAAATTGTTTTTAAATTGTGTTAGATTTTAGCCATTCTTGTAAGCTGCTCCGAGCCCCAGGGGAGTGGCAGCATATAAGTTTGAATAATAAATAAATAAATAAATAAATAAATAAATAAATAAATAAATTTTGTATTTAGACTTTGGTTCCATCTCTAAGACACCTCATTATGTACATATATGCAAATATAGGTAGTCCAAAATAAAAAAAATCTAAAATCCAAAACACTCCTGATCCCAAGCATTTAGGATATGGGATATTCATCCTGTATATAAAATCAATGCATATGTATATTTGAGAACTCACTAATGCTTATCATTTTTTTTCATAAAACTCTACCATTTAAGCACTCAAATAGATCCATTCAGGACCCTCCATTAAACAGTCAACCAAATTGTTGTCTGAAAAGGGAGTCATTATAAGATTATTTGCAGTGTGAAAAAAACACACATTTTCAATGCAACAATGCTGGAAGTGAAATGAAGACTGAATGAGGCATAAGTGGGAATAATTCATTGCTATGACAATATTACACTACGGTGTGATAATGCTCATCCTCTTTCAGTATCTGAGGAAACAGCATCAAACCCTCCCTCAGTAAATCTTGCTAAAAAAACTCTGTAATAGGTCCATTTTACAGTCATAATATATTGGAAATAACAGCACACAACAAACACCATAACTGTGGCCTGCTAACACAACGTAGCTAGCTGTTGTTCTAGAAACATTACACAGAATAGCAAAAATAATTTCATCAGTAATTAGTTTTAAAGAAATGGTAAATAAATTCAGAAAACTTGTTTGCACAAATAGCTTTCTACCTTTTCTATCTCCTCCAAAAACGCATCAATTAGGTCTCTGGGAAAAGCGGGATCTCTGGTTTTCTTATGTTCATCCACCATATTTTTTAAGACAGTGGTGAAACTATCATAACCTTTCTTGATTTTCTGATGAGGTCCAGGGAGATACGAGAACCATGGTCTTACAAACACAAACTGGAATAACAGAAGGAAAAGAAACGAATGAATATCTTTTAGAATAGAACAATAGCATTTTTTTCCAGATAGTTCACGTGAAATTAAGTTGCTTAGTAATGGAAAGTTCTCAACTACTTTCCTCTTCACATTCATATAGGGAATGTCTTTTTAAAATTTGTGTCTCCTTTTGATTTAATTTTTAACTGCTTTCTGATGACCACCCTCTCAGGTGCATCCTTGATTTAGAAATTGTTCATTTTTTGCCTCTGGATAGAGAAGCCCACTGGTGGGATTCAGGGCCCATTTAGTGTAACAAATCAATTTTAATACTGTTAGTATATATATCAGTGGTTCTCAACCTGTGGGTCCCCAGGTGTTTTGCCCTGCAACTACCAGAAATCCCAGTCAGTTTACCAGCTGTTGGATTTCTGGGAGTTGAAGGCCAAAACATCTGGGGACCTACAGGCTGAGAACCACTGATATATAGGAAGCAGAGGTCTGCATTCTGCTGTCCATTTCACCACTTTCATGCTTTACTTTCTCAGGTGCCAAGTGCATTTTAATTCCAGAAATAATTCAAGCCCTACCTTTCTACCAGTTCTGATTTTCAAGACAACACACAACATACACAGCAACATAGTCCATTCAAAATAGACAAATAGATTATAAGAATGACACATTTTCATGCTTTAATAAAAACTGAGTATCAGTGCCACAGCTTCAGAAATCCAAATCCCTTTTTAAGAAAGTTAGGTGTTAGCTGATTCTGAAGATTGATAGGAGGCTACCTCAGGCAGGCCTTCCTGGTGAGCGTGTCTGGTAAGTGGAAAAAGGGGACCAGAAAGTCCTTTCCCACTTGAAATACTTTGCACAAATGGACTAGAAGAAGTGGAATATAGATTTGGCTTTCAAATGCTTCTAATTTAATGTTTAAACTCTATTTTTTTTAAAAAATCTGTTAAATATGAAATGGACGCGGCCAAGGAGGAGGCTGCGGAAGTGAAGGCAAGGTCAAGACCGGGGGGGGGGGGGGGATTTAATTGTGCTTTTGTCTCTTCCAACTCTATTCTTTTTGTCTCTTCCAACTCTGTTTTTGTTGTTGTTGTTCTTGTTGAGGCTGGATGACCTTCTGTCAGGGATGCTTTGATTGTGCTTTCCCAGCATGAAGGCAGAAGGGGGTTGGACAAGATGGCCTTTAGAGGATTCTATGAAAAGAGTCTTAGTTGACCACAAGCCAAACATGAGCCAACAGTGTGATGCTGCAGCTGAAAAGGCCATTGCCATTCTAGGCTGCATCAACAGGAAAAGCCTGAGAGAAGACGAAAGGGAACTGATATGACACTTTACCACTGCTGTTTTTTAAAATCATTTTTAATTATAATTATTTAATGTAATTGTTTATTTTAACTCATTAAACAATGTTTAGTATTACCTTTTGTTTAAAATTTTATGGTATTTTGTTTGAATTGAATGTTTGCCTGTTACTATCTTGGAAGCCGCCCTGAGTCCCTCATGAGGAGATAGGACGGGGTATAAATAAATAAATAAATAAATAAATAAATAAATAAATAAATAAATAATAGTTGTTAGTCTGTATTCAATTATCTGATTGACTTTGTTGCATATGTAAATTGAGTTTTATCTTTTGGCTTATATTATTTTGTATTGTTATACGGCATTTATTGTTTGCCTCTCTATATGTTGTAAGCCGCCTGGAGTCCTCACTGGAGAGATACGGCGGCATAGAAATAAAGTCTCTTTCATTCATTTATTCACTTGTTTGCACTGAAAATCCAGATGTCCCTGGTCAAACTCAGAAAGATACCTCAGGCACCATCCTCATTATACCCTTCAGTATTTCTTCTGTCCCATGGATCAGCTTCAGGAAGGTTTCATCATGGTATTCAAAGCGATCGCCAAATGCTAATATGCTAATAATATTGCCAGTTGCCTTAAAGATTGCAATTTTGGGGTCAAAAGGAGAGCCTGTAGAAGAGCCAAGAATGACAACTATATTAGAATTTTATCATCATCATCATCATCATCATCATCATCATCATGATTCACCATGCCACATGGCGATTCTGGTGGCCCATGTGACATAACTCATCCTGAGCAGCCCACATTCAATATACACAGTGGAGGGAAAGATAGGCCACTGTACTAAAGAAGACAGACAGATATATAGATTGTTAAATTGTAGTTAGATCAAATAGATGGATCAATAGAAATGACATAATGTTGACCTACCACCTAACCATTGATTTCATTTGACTACTGTAGTTGGGATAAACAATAGAACTTAGGCCAATGTCTCAGTGTTACTTAGTTTACTTGTTATCAAGACATTTTCACATACCTTGTATCTTTATATCGCAATAGACTGGAATAAGAAGCAGAATTATTTCCCCTCAATACCAAGCACAACACTATCATTGTCCTCAGCCTTTACTTGATCCTCAGGAATGAGACATACCTTCTTTAGATGTCAGCTCAGAGCACAAATACCAAGCTTCTTCACACACTTTCTTCTCAAGTGTTTTCTTCCCCATTCCAAAGTTTTTAAGAGCGGAAACACAAAATCTCTTTTGCTCCTTCCAGCCACTGTGCGAAGTTGCCAAAATGATGCCTAAATGATATTTTTAAAATTCTTTATTGAGCTCTTCATTATTCAGCTCTTAATTCCTCTCACAAATAATTAGAAAGTTACATATAGAATACATTAATTAGTTTCCCTCTTAAAAATAAATGATTTTAAACTGGTTGAAACTTGCACATTACAGCCATAAAATATGCACAGCCCTGATGAAAACAGTTTGGTCCCACCAATAAGTTCTCAGGCAGCCAGTGCAATTCCTTAAGAACTAGTATCTGAATGGAATTCCTGTGAGCAGTTTTGCTGTTGAATGTATTGTTGAAGGCTTTCATGGCCGGAAGCACTGGGTTGTTGTTAGTTTTTTGGGCTGTATGGCCATGTTCTAAAAGCATTCTCTCCTGACATTTCGCCTGCATCTGTGGCAGGCATTCTCAGAGGTTGTGAGGTCAAAAGAGGATGCCTGCCTGAGGATGCCTGCCACAGATGCAGGTGAAATGTCAGGAAAGGATGCTTCTGGAACATGGCCATACAGCCCGAAAAACTTACAACAACCCAGTTTAGCCGTTGCCCTTGCTTTCTTCCTTCAGGAAGAAACAGGGAACAGGGAACAGAGAAAAAGTAAAACACCTCAACACGAAGGTGTTGAGGTGTTTTACTTTTTCTCTGTTCCCTGTTGGCAACCCAACATCTTCACCATACAGTACCCTATCATTTCCTTATTTTTCCTTAACAAAAAAGTCTTTTAATTGTTTTTAACAATTTTCCTCTTGTGCTGGCTATTCATTTCAGTTCCTCATGATTTTCCCCTTTCCTCATTTTTGAGCATAACGTTTCAAATCTTAGCTCAGTTTAAAGTTCTTGAGACACCAATCTTGACTTCTTCACATTGGATTGTGACAAATTCGGCAGTGCCTGGCATGGGGTGGGGGGAAACCCTGTTAGTCTGTGTTTTGATTTATTGGGAGATTTCAAAGTGTATGTTTTAAAGCTGTGACTAAGTGTTTTGTAAAGCTGCCTAGCATGTGTAGAGTTAACAGACCACAGAGGTTTAGGTTATCCTAGAAGGACAGTATAATGTTTTCCTGTTTCCTCTGATGAGAACGGACTTAAATAATCAGAATGGAATTTGAGAGGTGTGCCTTTACTGATAAGAAGAGACTGCAATCGCCATCTTTTCGCAATGTTCCTGCTTGAGTACTGATGTGCTTGCTGTGTGCTATGTTCATGTATATAATGTAAATAAACTAATTACTTTATGGCTGTAATCCATCCAACTTTTATTATCACTTCAACAAACCCGTCACCCCATGCTCTGCTTCCCCCTTACCTGATTCCATAGGGAGGGGGGAGGTATCCATTGTCTGGCTTCTCCCTGTTGATCCCTATGCAACATAGGAAGCCTTGTGTGTTGCCGTGGCAGTATCATGTGCTGGTTCCTCTCAATTTGCATCATGGAGCCCCACTGGAAGTAGCTCTAAGTCATGGGATGGGAGCCGGTGGGCTCCATGTGGCAAAATGAGAGGAACCAGTGTATTTGATTTTAGCCCATTTGGTGAGGTCTTTAGACACCTCCATTTCCCCCCACATCGAAGCTGTTTGAAATTGTACTTTCAATATCTCCCTTTTAAGAAACTTTCAACCATCATGAACTTTCTTCACTTGTAGCATTCCTTACACAGTATTTCCCTAAGTTTGCTGAAACATCATCATCATGTATCATGTATCCGAAGGAGACTCAAAGTCGTTTAACATAAAACATTAGCAAACAATTTAAAATATACAAATGTGCAAACATTAAAACAGAATTAAATATAACTGCTATTTAAAAAACACAGTTAAAAACTATTAAAACACATTCAAAGTTAAAAACCACAAATCAGTCTTCTTAAAGTCTAGAACAGTGGTTCTCAGCCTGTGGGTTCCCAGATGTTTTGGTCTTCAACTCCCAGAAATCCTAAGAGCTGGTAAACTGGCTAGGATTTCTGGGAGTTGTAGGCCAAAACACATGGGGTCCCAAAGATTGAGAACCATTTTCTAGAATGTGTGTCTGGCATCCTTGACTTCTGTTGGAGCATGTAAAAATCAATTGGTGAGTGTGTTAACTGAAAAATGCAAAGTACAAAGCTGATGGGTTGGGCTATGCCCAGAAGTTAGCTGAGCCTGGGAGTTTTGGCAACAGTTACACGTTTAAGTATTCTGTGCAGGAGCTTGCCAGGACAATTAGTATTTTTGCTTCTTGGCTGCTGGAAGAAGATCCTTCACATGGACTTCTAAGGACCATTTGAGTCTCTCTCAAAGGACATTGTGTGAGTCAATGCAACTGTTCACATATGTTGTATATATGTTGCTCTGCATAACAAAGAGTAAACACTTTATTCTTCACTGGTTATCTGCATGACATATCTTTTCTCTAGCAAGACAGTGTGTGGATTGGTAAAAACGTGAACTACAAGTGATTTTCATTCCACCACAACTTCCATAGGAGAACATAATCACTCCCATCTAAGGAACTCACCATCCCTTAACTAGGTCATCATGATTGGTTAGGATCAGATCTAAAATAGCCGATCCCTTTGTCACCCCTTCATCCTTCTGGACAATGAAGATCTTGTTGGTTGGGTCAACCAGTGAGAGCACTTGGGAAAGTGCTATAAAGAGCTGAAGGCTGGACTGGTTCTTTGTTGGCAGCAAGTTTTCTTGAACTGCACAGTCTGAATCCCTGATGGTGAACTTTTGCCTTGAACTGTCACTCTTGCTGGATTGACTACGCCTTGGAATGTTTGGATTAGTTGATATTGCGTGGTTTGAACCCTGGGCTGAACTTTGACTATTTTTGTGCTTTGCCTCTGCAGAACTGATTAATGTGTATGACCATAGAATGACTGACATTGAGACAGATGACTGGCAGCTGTGGCAGGGATTCCTTGTACAGGTCATTGACAAAAACTCCCATTACTACACCTCTCCTTTCTGAATGTGTGGTCACGTGTTCCAAGAAGGTATCATGCAAGTCCTCAGTCTGGCTTGGAGGTCTGTAGCACTGCCCCACAAGGAGATCCTTTTTGTTTCTCTCCATATTAACTTTTATCCAGATGTTCTCAACCTGTCTCCCAGGATTTAAATCATGATTTCTTCAGAAGTGTAAACATCCTTGACACATTATGCAACTGCTCCTCTTTTCCTATTTAATTCTCTGTATTAGATCACACCCCTCTATTACTACATTCCAGTTGCGAGACTTATCCCACCAGGTTTCAGTGATGCTTTTTATGTTATATTGTACAAGGCCACCATGCTTATTCCTAATGCATTAGTGTAGAGAAAGACATCTAGGACCATGGCTCATTTTCCTAGCTGCTTAATTAAGTTTTTCTTTTCTCCTTCCACTGATGGGTTCTTGTACTGTCAAAAGCTTTCATGGCTGGAATCACTGGGTTGTTGTGAGTTTTCTGGGCTGTATGGCCATGTTCCAGAAGCATTTTCTCTTGACGTTTCACCTGCATCTATGGCAGGCATCCTCAGATGTTCAGGAGATAATTCTTCTGGAACATGGCAATACAGCCTGAAAAACGCACAAGCCAGTTCTTATACTATTCTCCTAGTTCTCTTGCTCTCAAAAAAAAGAAAAGAAAAAAAGAACTGGGAAGTTTAAATACTTCAAGGGATCAAATAAGTCACTTACCTTCATACTTTTTTGTACGACCTACTAAAGATAATAATGGGAGTGCCGGCCTCTCAATGAAGTCCTCAGCTTTTGATCCCAGTGCCTCCTTTACTAACTTGAACCCATTTATTATAACAAAGTTTTGCCAGCCCGCCTGGACTAAGAAGATGGGTCCAAACATTTTCTCCACCTGCAATATATAAGAAAACGAGTGGATGGGGAGGGTCTAGAATTAAGAAGAAATTATAAAGCAAAGACAGAATCCCCATTAACAAAATATATAACACAAAATCCAAATAAATACCAGCTAAGGACTAACTTGTCAAGATTAAATTAAAAGAAAAAGAAAAGACCCCAAATAGCACCCCCTTTTTCTAGAGAGCCAACTCCCTTCACTGCGCCGCTATCCCTGCAAAGAAATTAAACTGTTGTTCTTTCTTCTCTTCCACTTCATTAACAAATATTCTACAATAAGAGAAAAGTAATAGCATCCATTATCTGCTTAGTGTGTTTCAGGAGATCACGTGTCTCATTGGGCATTGGCTGAACTTTCGTTCCAGTTCCCCCCTCTCCTTCCAGCAGATTTTATTTTCAAATACGCGACATACACATTTTCCTACTAATATGTGTGAATGTATTTCTTAATCTTCTCCCTTCTCTTTTATTTCAGTCTCATCTTGATTACTGTATCCTTCCTTTACAGCAGTGTTTCTCAACCTGGGGGTCGAGAACCCTGGGGGGGGGGGGATCACAAGGGTGGTGTCAAAGGGGTTATTATTATTATTATTATTATTATTATTATTATTATTATTATCTTTATTTGTACCCCGCTAGCATCTCCCGAAGGACTCGATGCAGCTTACAAAGGCCAAGGCCTCAACACACAACATAACAATACAAAACCTAAAGCAAATTAAAAACAGTTAAAGCATAGTAAACAACAGGGGTTACTAAAGACCATCAGAAAACACAGTATTTTCTGTGGTTCATGGGGGTTTTGTGTGGGAAGTTTGGCCCAATTCTATCGCTGGTGGGGTTCAGAATGCTCTTTGATTGTAGGTTAACTATAAATCCTAGCAACTACAACTCCCAAATATCAAGATCTATTTTCCCCAAACTCCACCAGTATTCACATTTGGGCATATTGAGTGTTCATGCCAGGTTTGGTCCAGATCCATAATTGTTTGAGTCCTCAGTGCTCTCTGGATGTAGGTGAACTACAACTTCAAAACTCAAGGTCAATGCCCACCAAACCCTAACAGTATTTTCTGTTGGTCATGGGAGTTCTATGTGCCAAATTTAGTTCAATTCCATCATTGGTGGAGTTCAGAATGCTCTTTGATTGTAGGTGAACTATAAATCCCAGCAACTACAACTCCCAAATCAACCCTCCCCCCAACTACACCGGTATTCAAATTTGGGCATATTGAGTATTTGTGCCAAATTTCATCCAGTGAATGAAAATACATCCTGCATATCAGATATTTACATTACAATTGATAAAAGTACCAAAATTATAGTTATGAAGTAACAACAAAAATAATTTTATGGTTGGGGGTCACCACAACATGAGGAACTCTATTAAGGGGTCACATCATTAGGAAGGTTGAGAACCACTGCCAGTTTCATATACCGTAATTTTTTTGTAGCCTTGCTTCTTTTGGTCAACATTCTGTTAAAGACTGTAAGTCCCTTTTGGGATATATAAACAGAGAGCTATTTCCTTGCCCTTGTATTTCATACAAAAAGTGTCCAGGATCTCAGTTGTCTAGGTTGGGTATAAGCCTGTTGCTGCTTCTTTTTACTAGACAAAAGAGGAGCAATTGGGGAGATGAGTTAGACAATGATAATTTGGCTTTTAAGTGGTCCTGAGAAAGTAAAAAAGTGGATTTACTCTATTTGACAGAGCATTTTCGTTTATGTCCCTTGCACCAAGCAACATTGCTAAAACATGGATGTAGTGACAGAAACTGTGTGTCAGAAGCAACTTGAGAAACTGCAAGTCGCTTCTGGTATGAGAGAATTGGCTGTCTGCAAGGACGTTGCCCAGGGAACACCTGGATGCTTTACCATCCTGTGGGAGGCTTCTCTCATGTCCTCACATGAGAAGCTGGAGCTGTCAGATGGGAGTTCACCCCATCTCGTGTATTTGAACCACTAACCTTTAGGTCAGCAGTTCAGCCAGCACAAGGGTTTAACCCATTGCGCCACCACAGTTCCACACTGGAGGTGATAGCTGGTAGAAGATTAAGTTCACATAGAATCACACTGAAGGACCTAAAGAACTATCATGTTAGCTGCTGGAATTGTCACACATCATGGTGAATCTCGTGATGCTTGCCAGGGGGCATGGGGAACCCATCACCCCATGCCCTGCTTCGTCCGACTTCACCTTTACTCCATCCCATGGGGGGAAGTGTCTGCTGCCTGGCTTCCCCATGTTGATCCCTATTCAACATGGGAAGTCTCCCATATTGCCACCGCGGCGGCATATGCTGGTTCGTCTCCATTTGCAAAACAGAGCCCCACTGGAAGTACATCTGGTTAACCTGCCTGATGAGGTCAAAGGATTTCTAAAGGAATTTCCTCTTGGATTTTTTTAAAAAAGCATTTTAAAAGCTGCATTCTTTTCTCGTTTGTGGGGATCCTGCACCTCTGACCCTTGTGAAGTAGAAGCCTACAGTACTTCTCAGG